TCCCCCCCACCCCGTGTGGATCCTGAGCGCTGCCCCCCACACCCCTTCCTCAGCTCCGGACCCTCCGCGGCACCATCTCGGAGGACGCGCTGCCGACAGGGTCCCCGCGGGGCCTGTCCCCTAAGAAACTTCTGGAGCACGTGGCGCCGCGGCTGAGCCCGACCTGCCTGCGCCTGGGCTCAGCTTCGCCCAAGGTGCCACGCACGCTGCTCACACTAGACGAGCAAGTGGTGAGTGGCCGGGGAGCTCCCAGCTTTACAGCCACACTGTACACCCGGCCTGCTCAGCTCCCAACCCCCTAGCCCTGACCCCCACCCTGGGCGGTGACTCCCGGAGAGAAGGCATCAGAGGTCACCTGGAGCCTTGTCCAAGTAAGGTCTGCAGGCCAGCAGCACCATAGCATCTGGGAGCTTGTTAGAAATGCAGATTCTGGCAGGGCTCGGTGGCTCAGCCTGTGATCCCAGCACTTTGGGAGGCCGAGGTGAGTGGATTGCTTGAGCCCACGGGTTCAAGACCCCCCTGGGCAACTTGGCAAGACCTCATCTCTACAATAAATCAAAAACTAGCCAGACGTGGTAGCGCGTGCCTGTAGTTCCAGCTACTTGGAAGGCTGAGGCGGAAGGATCACCGGAGCCCAGTAGGTCGAGGCTGCACTCCCAGGCTGGGAGTGTGTCACCGTACTTCAGTCTGGGCGATGGAGTAAGACTCCAACTCAAAAAAAAAAAGAAGAAGAAAGAAATGCAGATTCTATCCCAGCACTTTCAGAGGTGCAGGCAAGAGAACTGCCTGAGCCCAGGGGTTCGAGACCAGCCTGGGCAACTTGGCGAGACCTCGTCTCTACAATCAACCAAAAAATTAGCCGGGCGCATGCCTGCAGTTCCAGCTACTTGGAAGGCTGAGGTGGAAGGATTGCCTGTGCCCAGCAGGTCGAGGCTGCGGTGGCCCAGGAGTGTGCCCACTGCACTCCAGCCTGGGTGATAGAGTAAAACTCCAACTCAAAAAAGAGAAAGAAATGCAGATTTGGGGGCCCCACCCTAGACCTGCTAAATCGAAGTCTGTATTTTAGAAAGATCCCGAGGTGACGCATATGTACTTTGCAGCCCTAGAAGCCCTGGTCTGACTGCACCGCTGCTGCTGCAATTCCCTCACCATTCCTGGTCAATCTGCCTTGCAGCCCCCTGCTTGGTTCCCCCTCAGTATGTGAGGCTCACTCCTTCCTGGGGCTGCCCATTCCACTTCGGGATAGTCAGGCCAGTTGGAAGTCATTCCCTACTCTGTGCTGAAAGCTACTCACTGGTGGGTTCTCCTCCTCTGTGTCATTCACCCCCCCCCAGTCATTCAGCAAACATTTCGCATGCCTTCTTGGGGCCAGGCCCCAGACGGGATGCTGGGGACAGGTCCAGACCGGGTGCTTTCCTTGAGTAGCTCACAGCCGGGTGGGGGAGAGAAACCCACAGAGAACTGTTGAAATACAGGGGCAGGATAACAGTGAAAGGGCACCGTCGAGGGCTCCGTGGGGCACAAAGGGAGTGCTGACAGCCCTTCCTTGGGCAGGGTTTCCCAGCATGGAGGAAACCAAAGAGCTCACGCCAGGATGAGCGGGCGTGTTCTGGGCAGAAGGAACAACCATGTGCTAAATGCTTAACGACTGAGCACATCACATTTGGGTAGTTAGTTCAGCCAGGCTGGAGTAAGGTTTGGGGAAGGGGTGGACGGAGGTTTGCATTTGTTTCTGTGGACACTGGGAAGCCATGGAAGGATTCAGAGATCTGAGAGGTGCAGTAGCCCTCTGGCTGGAGCGTGGGGACTAGACTGGGGTGGGGGGTGGGGCAGACGGAAGGCTGTTGCAGTTGTCCAGGCTAGATGCGGTGGCAACGATGGTGAAGAAGAGGTGACAGCTCAGGGTATAGGGGGTAGCCCTGTGACTGATGGAAGGGTGCGGAGTGGTGAGATCCTCAGCTTCTTGGTCCCTGGGAGCGGTGTTTCTGTGTGGGGGGGAGGTGGTCAGCAAGGACGCCAGATACCAAGTGCTGAAGAAATGGGTCTGGGGTCTGGGCGTAGAGGCAGAGATGGGGGTGTCACCCCACAGAGGTGGCTGCTGCAGCCACTGAGGGGGAGCATGGGTGGAGAAGAGGGTGGGTCCCTGGGGCCCCAGGCACGGGGGTGGGCTCCAGTTGTCCCCAGCGCCAGCGGTGGCTGAGATGGTGCCAGGATGGGGTCCTGTCCATGGGCTGTAGGGGGAGTTGGAGTTTAGAGGCTGAGGTGGAATGAGGGGGTGTGCAGACTGAAATCGAAGTGGTGGCCGACGTGTGGACAAGCTTAGCATGATGAAGGGGTGCTGTGGGGGAGCCCAGGCTGCTTGGAGGGGCCAGAGCACCTTGTTAGTGTCCAGTTACCCATGGACGGATGAGCCAGGATCAGAGGGCCCAGAACGGGAGCAGAGAGGGTGGAGGTGGTACAGGGTTCAAGGCCTCCGGGGACGCCTTGGATTTGAGGATGGAGAGGACAGTCTGGCCTTGAGATAAGGAGGTTGACAACGTGAGCATTTATGGGGAGCGAGCGCATTGTGTGCAGGGTGAATCCTGAGTCACTTCGTCTCTTGTCCCGTGAGCGCCAACCCTCTCTGACCCCTTCCTGCTTGTGCCCTCCTCTCTTTCTTGTACCCAACGGACAGGCAAGGACACAAGTGGCTCACAGAGGACTAGAGCTCAGGGCCACACATCGAGGCAGCCCAGCTCCCAGGCCAGTGTCCATCCTTCCCCAGGATGCTGTGGGGTGTGGCTGGCAGGGGACTGAGGTCTACGCCTTCTGTCCATGTTCCTTCCTCCCAGCTGAGCTTCCAGCGCAAGGTGGGCATCCTATACTGCCGGGCAGGCCAGGGCTCGGAAGAGGAGATGTACAACAACCAGGATGCAGGACCGGCCTTCACACAGTTCCTCAAGCTGCTGGGTGACGTGGTGCGCCTCAAAGGCTTTGAGAGCTACCGTGCCCAGCTGGACACCAAAAGTGAGGCCCAGGGGGCAGCAGGGCGGGGCAGACCCGGGCGGAGGGGCAGGCGCTTGGGTGTGAGCTAGCTGCCTTGGTACTCCTTTGTCCACATATACTGTCCTGGGGCTAGGGACCGGGGCTGGAGAGTTCTTTGGGGAAGCCGAAGGCAAGAGTCAGGGCTGTAAGGGCCAAGTTAGGGGCTAAAAGGAGGGTCTGGGACCATCCCCCGAGGCCCGAGTACCCTACTGCCTGAGCTGGGACCAAGGTGGTTTTGAGGCACCGCCCCTCCAGCCAACACATTCCAGCAACCCAGTCCCAGGGTGGGGTGGGGGGCACCCCTGCCATCTTCCACGCTCCCAGCATGCCACGCGTGCTTGTGTCTAGGTCAACATGTGTCCGCTCCTAGACACCCGACCCCTCCATCCCCGAATCCACTTCTCATTTCTGTCTTCAGTCTATTTCATCACCTCTGTTCTGACCGGCCCCCTTCACCCTGGCAGCCTGGAGGGGGAGGGGAAGGGGGCAGTCAAGGCGGAGGCCTTTAGATCCCCTGGCCTGGGCATTGGCTGGTGGCATGAGGGGCTGTCTACCCGCTGGTTGGGCACTGAGGTGCTGAGTGCGGGCAGATGGTGGCTTCCGGCCACTCAGATGCCCCCTGCTGCCCTTGTGTGTCCCCAACTCCCTGGCCACAGCGGATTCCACGGGCACGTACTCCCTCTACACCACGTATCAGGACCACGAGATCATGTTCCATGTGTCCACGATGCTGCCTTATACCCCTAACAACCAGCAGCAGGTGTGCGGGGGGCTCCAGGGAACCATGGAGGGTGCTGTGGGGAGGGGAGGGGGGCTTGACATCTGAGCCTTGGCCTGAGTGCGGCTGACTCCCGCTGGTGGCCCCTTCCCAAAGGCAAACACCCCAGGCCGTCACCAGGGGCAGTAGGAGCCACTGATGACTACTAGGCTTTGCCCTGCCCGCGAGGAGGGATTTGGTCCGGGATAGGACGGTCCGCTCACCCTCCACCCTCTAATCCCCAGCTCCTGCGGAAGCGTCATATCGGCAACGACATTGTGACCATCGTGTTCCAGGAGCCCGGCAGCAAGCCATTCTCCCCCACCACCATCCGCTCGCACTTCCAGCACGTGTTCCTAGTGGTGCGGGCGCAGGCGCCCTGTACCTCGCACACCTCCTACAGGTGGGCGCCCGGGTGATCCCAGGTCTGCCATCAGCATGGCGTCCTGCTGCCCCCTCACTATCGCCCCCCCCGCAGGGTGGCCGTGAGCCGCACCCAGGACACCCCAGCCTTCGGGCCGGCTCTGCCCAAGGGCGGAGGCCCCTTTGCCGCCAACGCCGACTTCCGGGCCTTCCTGCTGGCCAAGGCGCTCAACGGAGAACAGGCGGCGGGCCACGCGCGCCAGTTCCACGCCATGGCCACGCGCACGCGCCAGCAGTACCTTCA